AACTATACTATATAAAGTAAATAAATAAATGTTTAACCAGTTGTGCTTAGCATTAACTGTTAAGGGAAACGTCAACTTCAAATTTTTGCTTATGATTATAACTTTGTCCCTAAACAGCACATTATGTTCGTTTTCATCACACATAATGAGAAATCAGTTACTTGAAAACAAGCAAAACATTTCTCATAACATTTCAGAAAAAGATAACTCATGAACAGATCTGGAAAAGACTGGATTGGAGAGGTCTTTTCCTTAAAACAATTCTGTAAAGCAGGTCTGCAATAATCACAGTGAGGTTGAAAATAGCATCACAGTGGTAATGATTTGAATCACTTCCTTAAACTCTACAATGCATCTATTTTATTTTTAAGCCATGTATGATCATGTTTCCGTATTTTTAAGCAATTGTTAAGCATCTATTCACAAGAAAATACCTACATTTATACACTGCATTAAAGCATAGTCTGAAGAAACTACACAAGCCTGGCTCACATAAAATACTAAGGCATAAACCATATTTTATACATCATGACTGAGATCATACATGATGCTAAGCTTGGTTTAATGTGATCTGTAAATTCTAGCAATACGTGTTTCTCATTCCAAAGCTCACCGAGAAAGAAAACCTTCCAAAATCTTTTATCCTGCTTCATAAACTGCCCCTGGCTGATTCTATGTGCATGCATAGCCACTTCTCTGGGGAAAAAACAAGAGGCAGCTAGGAGAAGTTTATGAAGATACAGCTGATTTATTGATTTTAAAAGAGCTGCATAACACCTCCATTGAGTGATTTTCATAGCAACAGTAGGTTCATAATGGGTACACAAACTGCATCCTTACAGTGATAATGAACCAATTTCCAATAGGCCAGCAAGCATAGACAGTACTGATTGAAGCTGGGAGATACTGTGCAACAATATCCAGAGGGCCACCTGCAATGAGGATAGCAATCCTTGAACAGAAACATGCTTTCCCAAAAATAAAGAAGGATGCCATGAAATGTAGTTACAGTGAAGTACTGTTCACTAGCACAAAGGACTTCTTTACAGGAATCCACATTTCAAACAACTACAAATATATTTTGGTAAAAGGCAGTAGCATAGGACAGCCAAGACTTGGTTTGAGAACTACATGTGCATATAGTTTAGGCACCTCAGTGTACCAATTTTATTTTATTTATATAGTATTTATGCCATAAGTGTCTCAGTGGCACTCAATGAGAACATGCCTTGCAATGCCACACAACTATTGCAAAACATGAATGCAGTCTTAGGCTGTGTTAACAGAAGGTCAGTTTAGACTCTGAGTATTCAGAATATAGTATATCTAAAAGACTGCCCTACATACACGTTTGCTGCTCCAGGGGATGGAACAAAAAACAAAGGATGGAAATTTATTTCCGGCTGAACTTCCCAGGAGAAAGAGCCATTCGGCTAGGGAAGAAATTCTCCTTCGCAAAAGAGATTTGAGTAAGGTTGTAACCGTCTGTCGGGGATTTTCTAAGGAGAGGCATCCTGCCAAGGGAGCGGGAGCGTATGAGAATCCTTTCAAGTCTATAATCAGGGCTTCCACCAAGAGACTCTCGGGTTCGGTGACGCTGACGGGAAAAAATCTTCGGCCATCGCGTGGCCTCCCCTCACAGAACTACACACCGCTCACTTCAAAGGCTCCCGCTAGCCGCTGTGTTATAACTGGCGTTTCCTTGTTGACATGCCCAGAATTCTCCCGTCTTCCGCTTCCCTCGTGGACCGCCCCTGTTCCGTGGGGCTGCTGAATCCTCCGGTCCCCTGAGGTAGTCGAGTTTCGGAACTCCGCATCCAAGGCGGCGACACAACATCGCTACTCTCCCCTCTCCTCCCGAACTGCACTAATCCCACCAACTCCGTCCCGAGACCGCGCGCCCAGCCACTCACCTCGCGCACAAGGCGACTCCAACGGCAAGAGGAAGGAGGGAAAATCCACGGAGCCCACCGGCTCCAGCTTTCCGATTGGCTCAGGTTCCTACTGGAGGGCTCCCATCCCTCCTGTCGCTCGTCGACTAGATTTTGCGTCACCGTAACGCTAAAAGTCCGGAAGTGGTACAATGATTGCTATGGCAACAACGGTCATGCGCAGAGCGAAATACGGTCCCCTCCTCACAGAAGGGAATTAGAAGTTTGTTGAATTTCTATTTTTACATGTGGTTTAGCCCAGTCTTTCTCAGCCTTAGTCCTGCGTGGACTTCAACTCCCAGAATCCCCCAGGAAGCATGCCGAATGGTGGATTCTGGGAGTTGGTCAACATATTTTAAATTTACTAAGGTTGTGAAACACTGGCATAGTTTGCCGAAGTGTGGAACAAGCAGCAGAGAAAGCTTTCTAGACCTGAGTGGACATGAATTCCACCATGGAGGATTGCCAGAGCTTGAGCATTTTGCTCTGGAGCTAGTAGAATGCTACAAATACAGTACATTGTTTTGTAATTGCTACCTACATTCTAGTCCGCTTCCTGCTGATCCCATTCACTACCCTGGTGGTGCTAAATGCACAAAGAGGGCTTTTATCTAAGCCTTTTGCAAACCCATGTAAACTTTGGAAAAAGTGGATTAGAACTGCCTGTTTGAGGTTTCCAAGAGTAGTCGAACTTTTTAAAAAATTTTCAGCAAAATAAAACTCTGAACCTTAGATATATTATTTCAAAGCTACTGATACCGTTTGCAATCAAATATAAATTTTAGTAAATTAGGATTGTAACGGCTCGAAAACTATTTGGTAGCATCCACTCATTTTTGGAAAGTCCATCATGGATAACTTCATCTGTAGAGAAGTTTCCTTATGGGATCCCTCAGATATGTATCTTGACTGCACATCACTTTAATATAACTTATTTTTTTCACAAGTGTTATGGTTAGATACTAAGAATTCCTAAATGTTGTATGTTGTCTTAAGCCAGCTACAATAAACCCATTGTCAGACAGAAAAATGAGCTATAAACACTTGTAATTGCTTATCCATGAACTATGTGCAAAATAGGAATGATAAATTTTAGCTGTAATGTGCATGGGACTGGGAAAAGGATGAGGATGAATTGTCAGGCTTGAATTATTTTAGGAGGCAATCATTTAAGGCTGAGGAATTTTAAAATGTACATCTATTCTCGAGCAAGCAGATGGCAACATCTAGTTGACCTTGGCTAATCACAAAAAGGCTAAGCAATCAGATTGGGTCAGTACCTAGATGGAAGATTGTTACCTGGAATTTTAGGCTTCATTATTAGCATTTTAAAAAGGTGATATTAGCATTTTTAACATGGCAATCTAGGCCTGTTTTCTAACTTTAGGAAAGCATGTTTTTCTTCTGGGCCAAGGCCATTTCTTTTAGTATATTTGAGAATTTGCTTTTTCAGCACCTAAACAATAGAGAGCGTGTTCTGAAAGTCCTTGAATACACTTGCAAGTTTTAAAGATACAAGCCTGGCTGGGAAAGGGAGTGACATAACCTATACATTTGCCACTTGTGGAATGTTATCTGGAATCAATGTTTTCTATTGTTCAATTCTCACGTGTCTTTTATTGTTTGATTAGTTACTTTCTGATGTATCACATGTATCGAATGTATGTATCATTTGTTTCTGTACCCTCTGAAAAGACTTGACCCCCCTTAATAAACGCTCTTTGCTTTGGCTGAATTACTGGGTGGTTTGTATTTTTGGGTAGGCTAAGAAGCCACCTTTGCAAAGGTAAAATTGTTTTCTCTCCCAAATTCAGCGAAAGGTCTTCAGTTCCACACCACTCAGGGCGCCTGAGTTTTAAAGGCAACAAGACCACCAGGAAACCCCAAGGCACTACAGTAGACGAGGATGTCAAAATGATATCCCAGAAGGCAAGAATGGCATGCTGCTTCTGTATTTTATCTAAAAGACCACATGTCCATATAGTCAACCGAAGCTAATCTTTTTATTCTCATGTCAACCCAAACACTGAACTGAATCACAATTATTAATAAGCAAGTTTTATTTCTTGTAATAAAGTGCCAAAATTAATTGCAAAAGAAAAAAAATGTCAACAATATTAAGAATTTACGTAGCACTGCACCAGTGTCCTGCTGTTGAATCATATTTTTCATTGGAATATCTTCCTTAAAAATGTGTACAAATAAAAAATATGGGCATGCCCATTTCATGGAAATACAGTCCTCCTCCTAATGTCAGCATGCATTTGAAAAAGAATCATATAGTACATATATACCTTTGAGAATTCAGCTATTCCTGAACATGGTTTCAGATCATATCCTCCTTAATAGGTGATTAAATTTGGGAAGAAGCTTTCCACCACGTCAAAATGTAATGCGTATACCATGAGGAATACTCCTTGCAATGTGCAATCTGATTTAATATATTACTCTTTTTCTTCTTTCTTTGCCTGGGCTCACTTTCAGAGTCTGATAAGTCCCAGAAATTGTTCTGGAAGAGGTATTAATGTAAAATTCACTTGAGTCAAATGGAATGAAGTGGAAGTATGCCAAACTTTAGTCAGTTGTTATGTGTAAATACACTGTTATGCTATTTCCAGCTTCAACTGAAGAGCCCTTTGCTTCCTCCTCTGGATTTTTTAGATGCTTTAACATGAGGAACTATTTCCTTTGAAGTTCCAAACCACTCTGGCAATTTCCTCTTTGAAGGCTGACTTAACAGCTAGGAAAAAAAATCACAAATTCATTATTTCATTAACTAAGTAATTGTTACTCAGATAAGATACACACCAAAAGACAGAGTCTTCCCAAATTGTGGCATCCTTATAATACTCATCCCCTTATAAATCCATCCAACAGTTTTTTTTAACCTGTTGAATGGATTTATAAGTTTGATATATCAATCAAAAAAGACAGTTTTTCTCATATTTATGTGCTTTCCAAGAGAATTTTTCCTTCTAAGCAGCTTATAAAGCATGAGGAAGCCAAAGGTATAAATATGAATAATTCTGGCTAGCTTCTTGGGGAAAGAACTTACAAGTTATTTGACATGAAATTGTCACAGAAGGCTAAGAGTGGTACTAGAACCTAGCTGTAAAATAAAATAAAATAAAATATATTCAGTGTCTCATTTGCATAAAGTTTGCCTAACTCTGTTTCAGATGACATGAATAACAATTACCTCTGACTGGGAATCAATAAACAAATCTTCCTCAACATTAGCTGAGTGCTGGTTCCATGTAGCCAATCTGATGGCACTCTGAGGGTTCTGGACATCCTGTTCAGCACTAAGGACTTGCTTTTCTTTATTACACTGTATCTTTGGAAAAAGAAGAATCAGTTATAATCTCTACTGATCTGCTGGATGGGAAACTTAGATATTAATGTGAAAGCTTCCAATATTACCATTAATACAAATTCATTGATGGAGACTCTGCAATATTTTTAGTATTGGTTTATTTTGTATAATCAATGGATGATGTACTAGATAATTACCCAGGATAAAGAATCTGTACATGAGGTATTTTGCTTTATATTTCCACAGGACTCAGAGCTGGGTTTCTGAATAAGTGGCTTCACCGAATCCTCCTGAAGGATTAAGGAGAATTACATTAACAGATCAGATTAAGGTTAGCTATTAACAACATTAATATAATAAGTAGCAGTGCATCACCTGGAAGAGAAAATTTGAAAACTAAAATTGCAGTTACTATTATTTCTATATTTATATCTTGCATTTGATTTAAATTGGGCAACAATACATGTATCTTTTCACATAATCTGATTAGAAGTCATATGATCACAAAACTATTTTACTAAGCAATGTGTAAAGCAGAAGGAAGCCCAGAACTTTTTTGCTGTAACTAAAGGCCAGAAATAAAGCAGTCCAACAATAGGCTATTTAATTATAACAGGATTTCTGAATTGTAATCTATACACTCACATTGACTGGGTTTTGAACTGGCTCAGAATTTTGTTTCAAAATTGTGGCTACTAAACATTTTCATTTTGTAATTTATCTATCTATCTATCTATCTATCTATCTATCTATCTATCTATCTATCTATCTATCTATCTCACATTTTTGTGTGTGTGTTCCTCTGCCAACACACTTGTCTCTCAGCAGGCTTTCAAGTATATGCATGTTTGAACAAGCAGTCTTAATGTAAAATATTCTTTCCTAATATTTCATTTTTCTTATGTAGCTAGAAACCCACAGCCACTGTTGCAATACTATATTTCTTAATCTGACTGCTAAATTAGAATTTTCCAGGCCATGATGAGGGGTAAAAATAGAATTCCTCCTCCTACCAATAGGTGATACTGTGGAGCTATCCTTCTGAAACATTTTACAATTCTTCCAAAGAATTCAAAATGTATTATCAATACTACTTCTTCTTCTTCTTCTTCTTCTTCTTCTTCTTCTTCTTCTTCTTCTTCTTCTTCTTCTTCTTCTTCTTCTTCTTCTTCTTCTTCTTCTTCT